GGGGGAAAATGACAAAATTATCAACATTTTCTGCCAACAAACATTATTATATGAAAATATACAAATTTAAATTAGGCAAATTTTCTGGCAAATCAAACATCAAATTCATGAAAAATCAAATGGTTTCAATCAAAAATATTCATCATATTCTGGCTGAAATTACTAGATTTCCATAACATTTACAGAAAAGTTATGAAGATTGGGCGTTGGGAGTTGGGACAGGGGTTTTTTACTTTCTTATTTTTTCAAATTTATCAAACTATTGGAGATTTTAAAGTAAATGTTCACCTATGTACAGGGTGTCCCACAAAACGTGACAGTTGGTGAATTACTTTCTGGGCCGAGCGCTGCGGCCACGGGTTAGGTAAGTTAAGACTTTTTTTGGGCCGAGCGCTGCGGCTAGGACAGGATAGGGGGCCGAGCGCTGCGGCCACGGGTTAGTTCAAGTTATGACACTTTCTGTAAGATCCATATACATAATTGATAGGAAGGGGGGGGGGGTCCAAAAATCGTTCTCTAGGAATATACTGAGGTCTCCTGCATATTTTTTTCTCATTATTTTGTGAATACAAGTTGTCATCTCAGTTAGATTATTCCATACATTATTAACATTAACATTTGACATTTTATCTTAATGCTTTTAATGCTTAAAACTAAGCTTTTATCTTGAAATGGATTCTTGCAAGTCAGCTAAATTTGATGATATAGCTTACATAGAAAATTGTTTTCAGTTAATTATCAAATTATCGTTAGAGCTCAACTTTTAAACTGAGTAAAAATTAGAATATAATACAGGGTACTTCATTTCTTAAGTAATTCTCACCAAATAATGATAGCATAGAATCATATCTATAAGCGGGCCGTGGTTTGCAGATATATGCAATTTTTACAGGGGTCGAATTCGGAATCCCTCTAGGCCCCGGCCCCCCTATACGGCGCGCCCTTTTCCTGTAACTGTTAAAAGTGCGACAAAATAGCTTTCAAAATTTCAATATAAACAATCAGTTGCTGATTAATTCTAAATTTTAAATTTTGATTTTGAATATAATTCAAAAAATAATATTTCGAATTTCAATTACAGTTCTGATGCCCTCAATGTTCAAATGCTAAATAACCAAATCCGTCAGCTCTTAAAACCGGTTTTTTTCGCCGGAATTTTTCATCAGCTGACGCCATTGAAAGTTCAGGCTTCCACAGGCCGCTGCCATCTTAGTCATGGATCGGCTGGCCGCGGGAAGGTGAAGTACTCAACTGTAATATTGTGTATTGGTCTTGACATCGGCTTTTTACTTTCTCTTTAACTTTAAATTGTTGATTACGTTAAAAGATTTTGACATGTAAAGAGTTATTTGCTGGTCATTTTATCGCATTATAACAAAAATACATAAATTTAATCTTCATATGCACGGGCCCATAAGCGCTCATTACTCAATTTTAATCATATACCATGAATGCAATTAATTTCAAGTATCTTTTTAATATTTTCGGGTAGTTTTTTATTTATATATCTAAATAAATAATATAGTTTACTTGATGAAAGTGACCACATTGTAAAAATAAAACTATATATTAAGAGTGAAAGATTTTTCACAAATTTGAGAGGAATCATTTCAAGTAGTTAATACTAGTGTATTTTTAATTCTAAGAAACACTTACAAGAGGCATTTTTCGCTAATATCAAAATTGACAATCACAAATGGCCTTTTGTGGTAAAAAAAACGCTAGTAGTTCCTAAAATATGTCGATATGTGCATCAAAAGATCCGTCTTTCCAAGCCATATTTAACGGAAAACCCGTTTTGCAAAATGATGAAGCCAAATTGGAGCTGAAAAACTAGGGAATTTTGTGATTTTTTTGCACTTTAATGCTCTTAGATCGCATGTTTGAATATTTTTTACAAACTGTTTGCTGCTTAGAATTAAGCTTTGCAAGGCTGATTTTTTAAACCCATATCGACATATTTGGAAAAAATTAAAAAATCACTTGTAAAACTGGTTTTTCGGCTATAAATAGCCATTGGCGATGGTCAGTTTTATTATGCTTTTTGTAAATGCTGCTTAAAATAAAATAAAACACATAAAAAAACGCAAAATACACCCGTGATAACCCAAGTTTTTCGCTATGTTGTAATATGTGCAATAGTCAAAACGTTTAAGTTTTTATCGACCACTGAAACTTTGTGATGTAAATATTGCTCAATGCTCTGATTGAACAGGTCATCTATTACCACCGACAGGTTGGTCAACCTGGGAAAAATGGCGATGCGCCCAAAGAGGCTTGCCACAATTTAGGACATTAGTGTTTTAAATACCTTTAATTCAAGCGGCCCAAGAGAACAAAATTAGTGTAGATTGAAATAAAGGAGGATATTTTTTTTTAAATTTTAAACAAAAATTCCTTAATTTACTTTCAGCCTTCTTTTGGTTATTTTTAACTCTAAAAAACTTGCAGTCTACTGCTAAAAAAATTAACATGATTTAAAAATAATAGCAGGAAATAAAAAATAATTCTCACCTTATTAGAATAATCTTTTTTAGATAAATAAATGGATTATCTTTTTTCAAAATCAGCCAATTTTTTTACAATTTTGTAATAAAATTTATTTAAACCAATATTAAAAAAAAATGTAAAAAAAGGATTAAAAAGGATTATTAAGACATTTGCCTACCCTGCACTATAAAGAAACTGTAATTTTTGTAGGGTCAGGGCGGTAGATAGAACTTTTTAGCACAAGAGGGGTTGGGGAGGGGGAATTTCTTTTTATAAAGATTACAGGGGGGGGGGTTTACCCCCCTAACTTAAATCCTGAAACCGCCTATTAATATTTAGTTTGCAAGTCGTTTTAAGTTTTTAAAACATTATTATTCACTTTCTAGAATTTGAGAAATAAATATTTTCTTTCTAACTTTTGGAAACCGTTTTTAATGTAAAATGTTCGGTTGTGTACAATTGGGTTTCAAGATATTTAAAAAAAGCTTTCTTTTCTCGATGAACAGAAGTATCTACCCCTTCGTTGTCCGGACGAAGGTTTAAAGAGTACTGTTGTAAATCGGACATTAGGGAAAATATTATTAGTAAAAATATGTCGTCATCTTTGGGTAGAATTGAAATTTGACTTGTTTGATTGTTAGTTTGTTTTATTGTTTGTATATCAAATAAACGTCTAACTGCTGAACCGACTGGGCTCAATAGTCGTTAGGACTTGTTTGAAAATCACAAATAATAACACAGATTCGTTTCGAATAATTAAAATTAAAATTATTACAAGAATTAATCTATAAAAATGTCCCTTAAAACAAAAAAATATTAGAAGAATTTAAACCGATTTTCATATCTTAGGATCTAATGGTGCAGGCAAAAAACCTGGTGTGAAAAACATTGCAAATTTTTTAAAACAATTATTTAACCAATTTTCGTTATTTTGGACATTAGAAATTAACATGACATAGTTTTCTTGGTAATTTTCCAAAAATCGTATACTAGGACAGACCCGTTTTCTTTAACTAACTTAAGACAAGGTAGACACTAGGCATTACTCACTAGTCAAGGTCATTTTTGAGGTCAAAAAACTTTACACAATTTATCTGGTTTCAGAAATATTTCTCTCCTTCCCTGCTCCAGTTGGAGAATTACTCAAAATAGAAACTAGATTTATATCTTCAGTAAAGAAAGATTTTGTCGTTTTTATCTTAAAAAAAGTGATGTTTTTTACTTATGCAATATCCATCGCATTTGCATATTTAAAAAAAATTGGATTTCTGCATTAAAAATTCGTACAAAATGCAAAAAAACCTAATAAATGATTTAGTTCAGGGCTAACATTACACGAACATTAAGAAAATACAAGAATTTTTGGGAAAATGATTTCTTACCTTTTTACTTGATGGTTCAAACTCGGAGATCATATTCTTGGTAACTAATCCGTTTATTATGTAATTTCTAATAAATTACATAATCTTGGTAACTTTGAAAATTTGATAAAGCACACTTTTTTAGTGCTCAACCAGCTTTTCTCCGGTAAGAGAATTTGATCCTCTCAGTCATCCTTCAGCAAATGCAGGAAAAGGGGGAGGAGGAAGATCTAAAGGACAAGGACAATTTCTTTAACCAAGGAAGTCCTCAGGACGGAAAGATGGAGGTAAGAATATTTTTCTTAGATCCAATAAAATAGAATATTATCAGAGCTGGGAACTTTTGTGTTGAATAATCAAAATCCAGAACGCTTGATCCTGATATCCATATTGTGCACTTGCTTTGTAGTATCAATGCTGAATCTCATGATTTCAGCTTTCCCTTCAGGGTACGATTACACTGCGAATATTGAACAAAGATTGAACAAAGATAAAAAGATTGAGATCAAGCATTGATCCTGATATCCACAAAACAAGAGTTCTCAGCTCACTTTAAATAAGTAAAAATAAGGTACTGGATTATTATAGATATATGCGGATAGTGGAATGTGGATGAAATTTATCTGTTCATTTTACAATTCATTTTAAATCATATTTATATTTTTTTTTTTATCTCAATGGAAAAACTGGACCTACGGCAAGAAAGTTAGAGATATTTTTATGCAGGACTTTAATACGCTGACAAAGGAATTGAGTTTTTGCCACAAATTCAAATTTTTGAATTCATATTTCTTTGCAACCTGATGGGTGTACACTTTTGATATTTCAAACTTGGATTAATTGGCATAACAGAATTCATAGTTTGAAATATCTAAGGTCTTCAATATTGGTTTGCAAAGATATAAGGATTAGAAAATCAGAGTTTGTGACTAGAACTATATTTCCTTTCAAATAAACAGATTTATATATTGAAATTCCAAGGATTACATACAAAAATTATTTGTTTTAATTTGTAACAATGATAAGAAATCTCTGAACTTCCTGGGCAATTACAAATTTCTTAATTTTTGTTTAAACCTGATATTCAACGATCAAATTGAATGATAAGTAAAAAGTTGTGAACTACGTTAACATAGTTGAACCACTTCTATTTATTTTGAATCTGTTCATAGTTCGCTATTATATTACATTTGGTCTCGTGTCATATCTGCAGTATACTTTCCTTGTCTTTTTCTCAGTTTGTTTGTTTGTGTTCAATAAACATAAAAACAGTTGAACCAATCAAGCCACAAATTATTGAGAAAGTTCACATGACCCCAGGAAAGGTTTATGACTGATTAAAATTGAAAAATTTTGCCCGAAAAAATGTCGAAAGGGGATGGTGGAGTTGGCACATTTGATGTAGGGGGGGTCTCTTTGCCTTCAACTTTATTTTCCTCAAAATATTCACACAAAGAATACTTTCCGGGTCGATCCTACCAGAAGTGCTTGTTCTCTTTACCTGCCCTTGGCATATACAGGGGAAGGGGGAAGTAGTCCTCTCTCCCCCCACACCTGGGCATCCCTGGGGGGGCCCTGTCCCCTCGGGGATTTATGGGCAACGGTTAAAATCAGGTGTAGTAGGTAAAAAATGAGTTTGCATCCATCTGCAAAGGGTCTGTTCCCCCTTAAAAAGTAGTTGACAAATTTCTTGGCGCTTTGCGCCATTTCTTTTCAATAGTTGCATTAGAATTTCCCTTTCATCTAAAACCCCACCCCCTCTACTTGATAAACAATTGTATAGCAATATGCATTATGAAGTCTTTGGCATATATATCCTGTATAAGCGCCTGCGTGCCTAGCCCAGAAATTGTTCCCAAAACTAAACCAAAATATTATAACCAAGTGTACATTTTTCATATTTAGGTCAATGGGTGAGGGGGGAGGGGAGGGGTTGAGGCAAATTTTGGTATTGGAACATTTTGTAGAAAGACATTTCATAGATAACAAAATTATAGATAGGACATTTCAGAGACAGGACAATTTATTTCTATTATCTATCTATTATCTATTATCTATAAAATGTTCTATCAATGGAATGTCTTTCTTTAAAACGTTCCAAAACAAAATTTGGCTTCTTGTCATAACTGATCTTGATCAATAATAACACCAATATGAATATAATATCCATTTTTATTTACTATTTATGTTATTTCCAGGTTGAAAGCTCTCATGAAGAAGGAGAAGACCTGAGTAATGGATATAAAGAAGGAGAAGACCTGGGTAGAGGATATAAAGAAGGAGAAGACCTGAGTAGAGGATATAAAGAAGGAGAAGACCTGAGTAGAGGATATAAAGAAGGAGAAGACCTGAGTAGAGGATATAAAGAAGAAGACGACCTGAGTAGAGGATATAAAGAAGAAGAAGACCTGAGTAGAGGATATAAAGAAGGAGAAGACCTGAGTAGAGGATATAAAGAAGGAGAAGACCTGAGTAGAGGATATAAAGAAGAAGACGACCTGAGTAGAGGATATAAAGAAGAAGAAGACCTGAGTAAAGGATATAAAGTAGGAGAAGACCTTAGTAGAGGATATAAAGAAGGAGAAGACCTGAGTAGAGGATATAAAGAAGGAGAAGACCTGAGTAGAGGATATAAAGAAGCCAGACTTCGGAATATCCAGGATATAAAAACTAAACTGAATCAACTATTCCCAGGAAAGACTAGTTTATCCTTTCCTCCTTCAGCAGATGCAGGCCGAGGTGTTAGCCCTAGAGGTCGAGGACAAGGACGAGGTGTTCGATCTAGAGGTCGAGGACAAGGACGGAAAGATGGATCTGGATCAGGATCTTTAAGAGGTAAGAACAATTTTCTAGATCCAAAAAAATAGAATATTATTAGAGCTAGGAATTTTGTGTTGAATAAATATAATCCAAAATGCTTGATCCGATATCAACAGTGGGCATCCCTTCATGGTACTGTGGATATTAAACAAAGATTGAATTGAAAAGATCAAGATCAAGCATTGATCTCGATATCCACAATACAAGGGTTCCCACCTCACCAGTATAGATAAAGAAAAAGTTTATGAGGTTCATTGATTAAGGATGGAAAAAAAACTATTGAAATTAACAGTTCATTATAAAATGCATTTTCAATCTTAAAATTTGCTTTGGTAACTTTTAATAAAAACTGAGATGATCCATTGAAATAGAACTTTTGTTGCAGGACTTAATATTATTACTTTTTAACAAAATAGAACTTTTGTTGCAGGACTTAATATTATTACTTTGGAACAAAATTTAGATGAACACTCAGTAAAAAAATTATTATATTGCACACAAATGATCAGTTTTTATCAAATTTTTAAAAATGATTAGAAATCTCTAAACTTTCTGGGCGATTACGAATTTTTGGGTTTTGTTTTTAATCCTGAATGGTCAACGCTCAAATTTAATGATTATTGAGAAGAAATTTAAACTACGTAGACTTAGTTGAACCACTTCTATATATTATGAATTGGTCTCAAATGTACATAGTTTGACTTTTCCTGCTAAAAAGTATAAGTAAAAAAATTATTTATTTATGAAATATAACAAAAACATACAAAATTAAGGTTTCAGGAGAAAATAATTTAAAACCTCTGAAAGTAGAGGTTGTGGGAATAGTTCCCCCCAATTCTAAAAAAATATAAAAATAGAAACAAAAGGAAAAGGAAAGGAAAGAATAAGGACAGTTACATATTTATTGTTTATACTATATTTAATATAAATGGGTGGTAGATTGTTAGTATTTTTCGACGATAAACTAACAACTTTTAGAAATAAAAATTGTATATTTTTTGTAATGTTTTTAAAAAAGTAAAAAAAGCTTTATGGAGTGTGAAAGAGATAAAGGTTCTATGAAATACGGGCATTTTTAAGCATCTTTTTAATTCGCACCTTTTTTTGACATCCTTTCTGTTTGATTATATCTTTTACTCTTTTTAATCTTTTTATTCTTCTCTTTGTAAAGTCGTCTTTGCTTTCTTCAATTCTTTTCTTCTAACATAGCATGTGTTAGAATCATTAAAACATTTGTTCTGCTGATAAAAATCTTCTATTTTATGCAGAATTTTTTCCAATATTTTAGTTAATCCATTGATTAATCCAATTGGATGAAAATTAGATAAGTCGTCTTTTTTATCTTTTTATAAATAGGAATAGTTCTGGACATTTTCCAACAATTAGGGAATACACCTGTCTCATGGCTTAAATTAAAAACGTTAGATAAAGCAGGGGCTATTTCTGTAGATATTTGTTTAAGCAATTTTCCTGAAACTCCATTTTTATCCTCAGAGGTTTTGTTTTCGAGTCTTTCTAATTCTTCCATTATTTCTACTGGATCAGTTGGAAAATAAGCAAAAGAATGCATGGAGGAGGGTAGAAGAAATTTTGAAAAATCTACTTATCTACTTTAGGAATAGCTTCTGCTTTAGATTGGCCAAAAGATGAAAAATATTTATTGAACTCATTAGCAATAATAACTTGATCTGATATAATTAAGTTTTCCTTCTTAATGGAATCAATTTTCATTGAACTCTGGTTAGGCTTGTTTCCCATCCCTGTAATGTTTTTTAATGTATCCCACATTTTCCTAGGATTTTGTTTTTGGCAACCAATTAACCCTATTCCTGCTGGGTGGGGGTCAATTTGACCCCCCCCTGTAGTTAAAAAGCCTCAAGACAATATATGCAAAGTATACTCACTGACAACATCATTGTTTTGCTTAATAAGATCTATGTTAGTGTCTTGAGAAAATATAGGAATTGTAATTGCTGTTATTGCAAATTTCTAAAAAAGATAATAACTCGTTAAAAAATGGTTCAAAGTGATTTGATGAATTATTAATACTGAAATATTTGTTAGATCTGTAATATGATCCAATTAAAACTGAGACGTTTTCAAGTTGTATTTCTATTGCAATCGACACAAAAGGGAAAATATTTTGTATAACTGAGCCAGGTATCAATTTTGGATTCAAGTTTTGTTTACAATATACTACAACCCTTTTGATACTTCTCGTGTTTTAGTAAATATTTCGAAATCCTTGATAACGAATAAGTTAGGTATAGAAACATCCCATATTTCTTGTAAAACTAAAACTAATATACATTACCTCCTGATTTTTCGATTCTATCAAGAAATATTTTCAATTCTTCAAATTTTGATGACAGACTTTGAATGTTTAAACTAGTGACATTTAATCTGCTAAAATTTCTAATGTTTGATACAAAATTGTTTTCGCTTTGGTATGTATTTCTAAGCTCAATGTTCGCAAATAGATCGGGACCCATATTTGTTGAATCTAAATAATCATTGTAATTAAGAGTATATTGCTCGTTTTTATTAAGGGAATCTATATCATTTTTCACATTTTCAAGATTATCCTGGTCGTTTTTTATTCAATTTAAAATTTATTTAGTTGTAATATCTTTGTCGAAATATAAATGTAATTCACCAAAAAAGGTTGAAAGGAGATAGGAGAGGAAGAGGATCACACCTGTATATACACTTTGCTTGTCTGTCTGTCACTATGTTTGTTTTCATCCAATGAACGTAAAAACGGCTGAACCGACCAAGTCCAAAGTTTTAGAGTCATCTTACATAATCCCAGCTGGGAAGCGTTATGGATGATTGAAGTTGAATAATTTTGCCCGGAAAAATGTCAAAATTTATTATTTTAGAAAATGCACCAAATTAGAAAGAAAAATCCGTGAAAATTTGAGAACAATTAATAATTTCAATGCCTCAGACCAATACTTTTTGAGTTATTTAAAAAAAAACAGGAATAGGGTTAAAAGATTAAATTATTAAAAGGAAAACGGGCGCAAAGTTCCTTGAAAGTCTAGTCTAATTCTATATATATCTATACTTTCCATGTCAAGTTGTCTGTCTGTTTGTTTGTATTCAATAAACGTCAAAATGGCTGACGACCCGGGTTGGGACATTTTTTGTGGAAACTCGTATGACCTAAGCACGATTGAAACGCAAAAATGTTTACTAGATAAAGGAAGCCTGGTATATAAAATATTGCCAACAATCTAACATTATATTGTCTAGATCCTGGACTCAGTGTACGAAGATCTGGGAGGCAAAGAGTAGAGATAAACTATGCTCAGTTTGAAGATGTCCCGGATGAAATTTATGTTCCTGGTCCATTACTCAACGAGCAAGATAAGCCCGGAGATGATGAATATAAAGAAACTGATCATCAAGATGACCAGGCTTCTGAAAATTCAGATTCGGTGAATATTCAGATTTGTACTTTAGTTTTAAATTATTTACAGTTTTGTCCACAATTTTTAGAATTGCAGTGCTAACCAAAAATTGTGAATTGATTGTTGTCTTCAATGTTTATTTTTTACTTAACAAATGTCGCTATTATCATAACAATGATTCCACTATTTTCTGGGTACCATTGCATGCTACCATTAGCTGAAATACTCGACTCTTTTGTGGAATTAAAAAAATTGTCCAATCTGATGAATAAGCCAATTATCCTTTGTTACCAATGAAGAAATTCTTGGTATTAAGGAATATTCTACCATGAATAGATTTTTTGGTATTTAGGAATATTCTACCTGGAATAAGACTATTGGTATTTAGGAATACTCTACAAGGAATAGATTATTGGTATTTAGGAATTCTCTACCAGGAATAGATGATAAGTATGAGAAATACTTGTAATATGAACATTATTATTTAGGAATACTCTAAATAAAAAAATTATTGGTATTTAGGAATATTTGGTATAAGGAATATTATAATTTAGGAATATTTTACATAAAATAGATATTGGTTTATAGGAATATTCTACCAGGAATAAGTTATTGGTATTAAGGAACACTCGGTATTAGGAATAGATAATTGGTATTTCAAAATACACTACCAGGAATAGATTTTTGGTATTTAGGAAAACTCTACCAGGAATAGATTTTTGGTATTTAGGAAAACTCTACCAGGAATAGATTTTTGGTATTTAGGAAAACTCTACCAGGAATAAATTATTGTTATTAAGAAATATTCTACCAGGAATAGATTATTGATATTGAGGAATATTCTACCAGGAATAGATTATTGTTTTTAAGAAATATTCTACCAGGAATATATTATTGATATTGAGGAATATTCTACCAGAAATAGATTATTGTTATTAAGGAATATTCTACCAGGAATAGATTATTGATATTTAGGAATATTCTACCAGGAATACATTATTGATATTTAGGAATATTCTACAAGGAATAGATTATTGTTATTTAGGAATAATCGGTATCAGGAATATTATTATTTAGGAATACTCTACCAGGAAGAAAGGAGGACAGAAGAAACGCAAGCAAAGAATAGGAGAGAAGACCAAGAACAGAGATATAAACAAGAAGAAGAAGATGTTTGGATCTGTTGTCGCTAACTACGGATTGAAACGTGCGGAGAGGAATAGATTTGTTTATTGTGAAGAATGTAAGGTAAAATAATTAATATATCATCTTGTGATACTGCACAGGGAATTTAATTTTTTGTGGTTTTTATATTGTCTAAACTATAAATCATCATGTAATAAATATTTGATTTGATTTGATATCTTTCTACATGGGAAAATGATTTTTGATGAATCGTTAAAAAAAACGTAAAAAGATAACTTTCAAAGATTAGTGATTTTTTAACCTTTTTTGAAACATCTTTCCGAAAATTCTATGAATTTTCCCATGAGATCATTTATTTTTCCCGATTCAGAGAAGAAACCCTTTAAAAAAAATTTGGGGAACATTTTTTTTTCATAAAAGGAAGGAATGATTTTTCCAGAAAAGAAACAAAATTTGACAGAAATTAATACTAAAAAATAATAAACTTTTGTTTATTCTGGTAATCACTGAACTGTATATTAGGACCTGAAACTAGGAGGCTGCTCTACGCATCATAAACTAATTAGTTACCAAGATTACAATCTCAAAATTGAACGATCAAGTAAAAAGGTAAGAAATTACATAATAAACGGATTGGTTACCAAGATTATGTAATTTATTAGAAATTATAAAATAAACAGATTAGTTACCAAGATTATGATCTCGGGGTTTGAACCATCAAGTAAAAAGGTAAGAAATTACATAATAAACTGATTAGTTACCAAGATTATGATCAATTTATTAGAAATTATAAAATAAACAGATTAGTTACCAAGATTATGATCTCGGGGTTTGAACCATCAAGTAAAAAGGTAAGAAATTACATAATAAACTGATTAGTTACCAAGATTATGATCTCGGGGTTTGAACCATCAAGTATAAAGGTAAGAAATTACATAATAAACGGATTAGTTACCAAGAATATGATCTCAGGGTTTGAACCATCAAGTATAAAGGTAAGAAATTATATAATAAACGGATTAGTTACCAAGATTATGATCTCAGAGTTTGAACCATCAAGTATAAAGGTAAGAAATTACATAATAAACGGATTAGTTACCAAGATTATGATCTCGGGGTTTGAACCATCAAGTAAAAAGGTAAGAAATTACATAAGATGCGGATTAGTTACCAAGATTATGATCTCGGGGTTTGAACCATCAAGTAAAAAGGTAAGAAATTACATAAGATGCGGATTAGTTACCAAGATTATGATCTCGGGGTTTGAACCATCAAGTATAAAGGTAAGAAATTATATAATAAACGGATTAATTACCAAGATTATGATCTCGGGGTTTGAACCATCATGTAAAATGGTAAGAAATTACATAATAAACGGATTAGTTACCAAGAATATGATCTCGGGGTTTGAACCATCAAGTAAAAAGGTAAGAAAGGGGGGGGGGGCATGAAACGTATTACTCTCCGGAAAATTTAAACAGTGTTTAAACATTACTTAGAATTGTCGTAGGAGGCTGATTTTTTGCATGAAAACTCAGAATTATGTAAAATACATGCATTTTTTGGTTTTGAAGGAATCTGAGCAAAAGTGCGCGCGCGCGCTTTTTGTGAGAAAATGCGACTTTTATGACAGTAAATCAATGTTCACTTCATAAATTTCACTTGAACATTTTTCCTGGCACTTTTGAAACAAATTTGCGCTAAAAAAATTCACCTGCAAAGGCTTAAATGTCCGCGCGCGCGCGCAATATAAGAAAATATCTTTGAATACTAAGTTTGGCCTAAGTTAGAATAACAGTTGCATGAGATACATGAAACTATAGCAAAATTTGGACAAGGAATTCATTTCCGAGGTCAAAATAGACATTGGAGCATTCTGACCGGCGCGCTAGTAGCCAACTATTACATTGTGGGTCATCTTCGAACATTTTTTACATGTTGTATGTCGATTTATAGGTAATTTGGCACGAGGAATTCATTTCTGAGGTCAAAATAAATATTGGAGCATTCTGACCGGCGCGCTAGTAGCCGGCAGTTACATTATGGGCCATCTTCCCACATATTTGCATGTTGTATGTCGATTTATAGGTAATTTGGCAAGAGAAATTCATTTCCGAGGTCAAATTTAATATTGGAGCATTCTGACCTGCGCGCTAGTAACCAGCAGTTCCATTATGGGTCATCTTTTCACATATTTTACATGTTGTTGATTTGTAGGTAATTGGGATCCATTTCTTAGTAAAAACTTTTGCAAGACTACTCTGATCGACGTGCTAGCAGCCAGCAGTCACCCTCTGTGTCATCCTTTCATATGTTTTGCATGTAGTATGTCGATTCTGGGGTACTAGAAACAACGATTCTCAGCGCGCCGATCAGAGTCCTGAAACTTATTTTTTTTACCTAAGAAAGAGAATCGTTGTTTCTAGTACCCCAGAATCGACATATATTTATTATACATTAGATATTAAATACAAACTGTAGGATCAACCGAAGTTAATCCTTGAATCATAGATGAAGATAAATCCGCCTCCTGGCGGTCCTGTCGACCCTTCTCCTTTCTTCCTGCTTCATCATGTTTGGGCATAAATAAAATGGCCGTTCATTTTGTTTTCTCTGCCGACAAAAATCCCGTTATTTTATCTCCGCATAGATACAAGATAGCGGGTTCAAATTGTTTGTTGTTTGTTGATTCAAATCCTCCATGGAAATTTCCTTTCCAACGAAAAATGTGATAATAATATCTCTGAGTTCAACAAAATTATTTATACTTCAATAATCTATATACAACAATTGTAGGTTTACAGTATTTTGTATAACATAGCAACTCTTAAATTTGCTTGTTTCTCCTTACAGACTTATTGAAAAACTGTATTATTGTCGCCAATTTTTTCTTAATATTTTTTTTTAATAATTTCTAATCTAATTTTTTTCCCAGGGAGCAGGTATGGGACTTTGGAATGTAGGAAAACCAATACCAAAGGGTTCCATTCTTGGACCATATCTTGGAAAGTAAGTGAATAAGTTAAATACCGAGGGTTTGTATTCACAGAAACGCAATTGTTTATATCTTTGTATGCAAGCTGTTATAAAATTGAAACCTGTTATGGAAACTTAAAGGGTCAGCTTACCTGACTTAGAATTTTAAAATTATTCTAAAACATTACCGTGGTTTTATCAAATCATCCAATCAAAATTTTTATACTTTGCCTGCAGTTTTCCTATTAAAGTTGACCCACTGCACTGCACTTCTACTGAGTTCGGAAATCTATGTAAAGTAGAAAAAGGGCAAATTTCTACTTTCAGCTTTGCCAAATTTTTGTTTTGATTTTCACCCATAACAAGTATTTATATTTTCTGATATTATATTTATTATATTATATTAAGTGTGAAACTATTTCATGGAAAATGTCAAATCCTTTATGCATCAGCATAAAAATTGTACAAAGGCAAATTAGAAGCAACATTTGTAAAAGATGGTAAGGTCGATTTTAAAATGTTTTCAAAACAAGTTTATAAAGGTATTGGGTATAAACAGATGCGTCTTGAATGGCTGAATACCGTTTTTCTGTTTTTACAATATTTCAAAGATAATGTGGGGTGGGGTGGAGAGTGTGTGACACCAGTTCTTGTTAGATTACTGAAGTTAAGCACACTTGTCCACAGCCTTAACTGGATTGGTATCCAGACTGGTTTTCACGGGTTTGATTCCCGTACTCCCACAAACCTGTGGTTTCAAAGACATCTGAAGCAGACATCTGGTTAAGCAGTTATGACCACCTGGCGGATGTAGGAGGACAGAGGGGCGGCTGTCAACAACTCTCGCAGCGAAAGGGTGCGTGCTTTCTACTAATAAAGAAAGAAGCTTTAAGTGAACTGATCAAAGTGAATGATGATGAAGAGAGGAATGGTGGAAAAGCAGGGAAAGTCTATGGTTGCCAGCTATAGGTACCGGGGGGTATCCAATCCGGGCTTACAGATGTTAGGGAGCAATGAGTGTGATGTTTTCCATCAGTATGGCACCCGGGCCTCCTTCCAGTATATCAGAAGGATTCCTGCACTCTTAATTCTCAGGCCTAAGAATTCATAGGCAGCTGGAATCTTGTCAACCCTCTTCTCAGTATGAATGAAGCGTGGGTGGATGAATGTGCTGCCAGATTACAACCCCTGGTAGATCAATATAAACCCAGACAACACCAAACTTATGCAATAGAAAAAATTCCGAGATTTGATCGTAACAACCCGATCATCAAAAAATACGATTTTTCAATTTTTTCATAACAAGTTGATATAGGTATTGGGTATAGACGGCTGAATACCATTTGTCTGTTTTTTCGATATTTCAAAATTGGTTTTGTTTTAGGCAAGAAAACAAGGTTTTTAAGAAGCTCTGACAAATATCTTTCCAAAAAACCTAGTTTTTGCTTTTAATTTACTTAATTTTCAAATGATTTTTAGAATTTTAACGTTTCTGAATTCAAGACAAGCAAAAATCTTAATGAATTTGAAAATTATAATAAAAACATTCTCAAATATATTTTTTAAATGTATCAAAGATAAAGTTTCACTATAATACAATTTTGAATATAATAATCATATATGAACAAAAATCTAAAAAGTAACCTTGAATTAAGTTTGGGCCAAGGGAATATCTTAAAGTATCCAAGAACTCTTTTCTACTCAATTATTTATTATTTAGCAAGGTGTCAGTTGAAGAACTTGAGTCTCAGAAGGAATCCAACACTGAATCTGGATATGCCTGGGAGATTCAAGACAGTAGTATGTCAAGAGTAGAAGGTAACATTTAATTAACAATAAACAATGTCCATGTCCAGATGATGGGTGCTTCAAAATGCTTCTAAATGTTAGCAAGGATCAAATCGCGCTGCTGTGATATATGAGATCAGATTGAAAAGGAACCTAATTTTAACTGTTGCTCGGAAAGTGGTCATTTTTAATCAATCTCAAATTTTGGTGGAATTGTCTTTTCAAATTGACGTATTTTCAAAAATAATGATTATAAACAAGTTTCCGGGAAAAATTTTTAACTTTTAAGGTCCATAAATTTTCCCTGTGGTCTTGTGAGTTTCCACACAAAATTTGGGACTGATTGGTTCAGCCGTTCTAACGTTTATTGGATAAAAACAAACAGACGAAAGACATTCGAAAGAAAATACATTATACATATATGAAATGGAAAATGCCACTTAAAAAAATACTAAGATACGGCTGAATTAATACAGGTAAGAATTGAACCTTCGTCAAGAATGCCTCAAGCACTCCCTTCACTTTCAGATTTGACTTGGTTTGACAAGGATTGTAGAAGGAGGGAGGGAAGGCAACCTCGCCCGCACAGCTTCCGAACCTCATTTAATATATTTTCGGCAGTGCTCGTCCCCATATTTTTGTAAACTGTATTCTCTATATATTTATATATTATAGGTGCAGTGGACCCTGGAACTAACCTTGATCCCACCAACAATCCTCTGTACTTATCTTGTAAACTATATTCTCTATATATGTATATATAGGTACAGTGGACCCTGGAACTAACCTTGATCCCACCAACAATCCTCTGTACTTATCTTGTAAACTATATTCTCTATATATGTATATATTATAGGTGCAGTGGACCCTGGGACTAACCTTAATCCCATATAACTTCACAAGATCAAAAGATCTTTTTTCCTATTCAATCATTAATCAATCTAATATTATTTAGAATGCAGAAAATAAGTTAAACTAACTTTAAACTATATTCTCTATATATGCATATTTTATAGGTGCAGTGGACCCTGGGACTAACCCTGATCCCACCAACATTCCTGTAAACTTTATTCTCTGTTTATGTATATATTATAGGTGCAATGAACTAACTCTGATCCCACCAACATTCCTCTGTACTTATCTTGTAAACTATATTCTCTATATATGTATATATAGGTACAGTGGACCCTGGAACTAACCTTGATCCCACCAACAATCCTCTGTACTTATCTTGTAAACTATATTCTCTATATATGTATATATTATAGGTGCAGTGGACCCTGGGACTAACCTTAATCCCACCAACAATCCTCTGTACTTATCTTGTAAACTATATTCTCTATTTATGTATAAATTATAGGTGCAGTGGACCCTGGGACTAACCCTGATCCCACCAACATTCCTGTAAACTTTATTCTCTGTTTATGTATATATTATAGGTGCAATGAACTAACTCTGATCCCACCAACATTCCTCTATACTTATCTTGTAAACTATATTATATCATATCTGTTCGGTTCCATAGTAGTAAACCTATCTTTTAAGAATTCCCATTATTACACGGTTCAGGAGGAACAATTTTAATATTGTTCGCTTCCTTGCGTTTAAGAATGCTTATTCTTACACTGTAGGTGTAGAATTTTCATTCTTTAACGCTCAGATCGTGTAAGAATGGAAATTATTACACGGTCAGAGCGTGAAAGAATGTATATTCTTACACGCTCCAAGCATTAAAGAATGGAAATTCTTTCACTAGTTGAAGAATATTCATTCTTACACGCTCCTTAAATTGATCTTTTCAGTATAGATCAATATTGATATTAACTTAATTATTTTGTACTGACAACATGCACAGGGCAAACTCGCCGTTTTCTTTTACATTAATACATGCAAACTTGCCTTTTTTAACTTAAAAACAACATGCTCACTTACCTTTTTCTTTTACATTAATACATGCAAACTTACCTTTTTTAACTTAAAAACAACATGCTCACTTACCTTTTTCTTTTATTTTAAAACATGCAAACTTACCTTTTTTACTTTAGTAAAACAAACTCACTTACCTTTTCATGCTCACTTACCTTTTTCGTTTTTTGAAGTATTGATATACCTTAATTCAGAAATATCAATTTGAATCTCAACCCTAGTCCTGACAGAAGAGTGGAAATTAACATTTTCTGACCTTTCCCAAAAATATGGACGATGCTTTTAGCCTTACATTAGACACTTTCATCAAACTGCCGAGTCTCAAAGGATACTGCCCACTGCCTACTTATTATTTTTTAAGTTCATCTTCATTTCAAACCAAGCTTGGTGAGATTTTGCAAATCTCTGCATTCTCAGGGTGGCCAAAACTTTTTTGAACAAATCCGTACAAAAATCCGTACATTTTCAGAAGAAATCCGTGCAATCCGTACAATTTTCGAAAAAAAATCCGTACAATCCGTACAATTTTTTTTTTTAAAATCCGTACAATCCGTACATTTTTTAAAACCAATCCGTACATTTTTTAAAAAATCCGTATATTTTTTTTTAAAAATCTGTACAATCAGTACAATTCTCGAAAAAAATCCCATTTTTGAAAAAAAAACATTAAAATTAAATTTTTCATTCATTGTCCTTTGTGTTCAGTTCATGTAAGAGGGTTTAAACTTCTGCAGCAAGAATCAATCTGTAAAAAATTGGCTTCATACATATATACAAACTAAATACTGGGTACATGATACTGGATACTGGATACATGATACATTGATACAGGGTACATGATACAGGATACAGGATACTGGATACAGGATACTGGATACTGGGTACATGATACAGGATACTGGATACTGGATACTGGACACAGGATACAAGATACAGGATACTGGATACTGGATACTGGATACTGGATACGGGATACTGTATACGGGATACTGGATACAGGACACTGGGTACATGATACTGGGTACATGATACTGGGTAAATGAAACTGGGTACACGAAACTGGGTACATGATACAGGATACTTTATACAGGATATGTTATTAGTACACATTTCGAAAAATGTATAGGCGCAGAATTTCTTCTGGAAACTTGGGGCTTAGGTCTCCCAACCATCGTTCATCCAAGATTACTCTTAGATTGTTCCACGAATCTACTAATCCAGCATCGATGACACAAAACCATAGTAATTCAATTTAAACTTAATTTTCCAGGATATTTTAGATTTCACAACTTTTGGATACCAGACATTAATACCTAAAATGGCCATCCTAGTTTTTCTTGGGATAAATTAATTGTAAATAAAACAATCATTCTAATCCTGGATACAAGGTACTGGATACAAGGTACTGGATACAGGATATTTTTTTTTTTACATTTTAACATTAGAAAAATAAAAAACAGTGTTTGTCAGAACAAGAGCATAAAACTTATTTGCAACCTTTCATAATGTGAACTGCTCCAACTTAGAATATTCGGATTTTACCTGAATTATTTTTTAATATAAATTCTTGGGTATGTGCCCATGGAACCTCACAAATATGATATAATAATAATCTTATGAGGATAAAAATGTAATATTGGAATTCTTAAACTCGATGAAATAATCTTGATGTATTCTTTAACTCAAGCCTGCGGCCTTCGTTAAAGAATACATCAAGATTATTTCATCTCGTTTAAGAATTTCCATTATTACATTTTTTTCCTCATAAGATTATCATATTCTCTATTTATGTATATATTATAGGTGCAATGAACTAACTCTGATCCCACCAACATTCCTCTGTACTTATCTTGTAAACTATATTCTCTATTTATGTAAATATTATAGGTGCAGTGGACCCTGGGACGAACCCTGACCCCACCAACAATCCTCTGGCGTTTGCCAACTGTGGCAATACTGTTTTTGAGATCAATATGATCGGAGTACAGTTTGAAGATAAAATCTTCTACAGGTAATATTTTTTATTAAAATAGGAATAATTAGATCATTCCGAGTCTTAAACAATAATTTACATCACAAATGATTGATTTAAAGGGGAAATCATTTAAGACCAACCATTTTTTTGTTAAATTTTTAGTTTTGTAGCAAAATTTGAATTTTAAAACCCTTTTCTATAATCTTTGAAATAATCAGAGGCCGAATTTCAAGAATTTAAGCCTCGGTTTATATATGGTTGGTTCCACTTAAATTTATATTAAAATTTTCAAGATTTAAGCCAGCGGTCAATTAAAACCGGTTATTGGGGGATTTGAGACGTGGCTTAAATTCATTAAATTCGGCCACTGTAGACTTTAATTTCTAAAACATACCGTTGATTATATTTTAGAACAATTAAAGATATACTGTCTAGCGTAGAGTAGACAACATATGAAACTCATGTTTGAACTGTCTAGTGTACAGTAGACAACATACTAAACTCATATTTGATTTTTTAGAACAATCAAAGATATACAGTCTAGCGTAGAGTTGATATACTGTCTTGTGTAGAATAGACAACATACTTTAACTCATGTTTGATATTTTAGGACAATTAAAGATATACTGTTTAGTGTAGAGTAGACAACATACTGAACTCATGTTTGATATTTTAGGACAATTAAAGATATACAGTCTAGTGTAGAGTAGACAACATACTTAAACTTATGTTTGATATTTTAGAACAATTAAAGATATACAGTCTAGTGTAGAGTAGACAACATACTAAACTCATGTTTGATATTTTAGGACAATTAAAGATATACTGTCTTGTGTAGAATAGACAACATACTTAAACTCGTGTTTGATATTTTAGGACAATTAAAGATGTACTGTCTAGTGTAGAGTAGACAACATACTTAAACTAATGTTTGATATTTTAGAACAATTAAAGATATACAGTCTAGCGTAGAGCAGACAACATACTTATACTCATGTTTGATATTTTACAAGGTCCTATACAGAAAAAACTAGGGTTGGGCGAAATATTCGCGAAGCGCAAACAAAATTTTACCCCCACCCACTTAGGAACTCCTAGGGGGGGGGGCAAGTTTAAACTATAAATTCAAAACATTTGGCTTTTTGTATACTTCAAACGTACACATACAGTCCAATTACCTTACTAGTACTAATTTCTCCCCTTCAAACAAACAAACTAGCAGAAAAAAGACAGCAAACTTTTTTTTATGTTCTTCAGTTTCAGATTTGAAAATTGTGATAACTTTGAGTTCTAGGGAGGGGCACTGCCTCCTTGCCCCCCCCCTGTATACGCCCTTGTTTTTAGAACAATTAAAGATAACCGTCAAGTGTAGAGTAGACAACATACTTAAACTGATGTCTGATATTTTAGAACAATTAAAGAGATCCCATCTGCTGTAGAGATGCTTGTATTCTACGGCAAGGATTATGCCGAACAGCTGAAGATTGAATTTGGGGTCAGTATAAATCATTTTTATATTTTTGTTTTATTCTCATATTTTATCTCTATTCAAATAAATGAGGTTTGATTACTTCCATATTTAGAATATGGCCTCTGTTTGCATTACAGGAAAAAAAGGCAGTGCCACTTTTTGAATATAGATTGTTTTTGTTTAGAGATTTGACATAACAGCCAGAACAGTGTATAATTGTAGTTCTACAAACAAAAACTGACATATCCCACCCTGAGCAAGGAGCCACTTTTCAAGGAAATGGGTCCGTAAGGGTCCAAAACGGATTTATTTACAAACAAATAACCGAGATAAGAATATTCTCGTGGTGCAACCAAGTCCCCCCCCCCCTTAAGGGGTTTTGAGTTATGATCAGACAAATAAACAAACAAACAAAAGCAGATAAACAAAGAATTTACTACTATTTAAAAGATTTTGGCTTCTTTTAAAGGGGGTCATTTGTTTGGTTCTACAATAGATATTACCGGGTAAAATAAGAAGCATGTTTAGAAACACATGTCTATTTTAACAACCTGGTCTTTTTAAAAGGACTTTCAGAATTTTAACTAACACACAATTTAAAAAAATTACACAGGTTCTTTTTAAATCCTTTACCCGAGCAACAATAAGGAAGATTTTGTCGTTTTTTATCTTTTAAAGTGTTTAATTCTTTAACTTACGTTTTTGTTTCTGCTGTATAAAAATCAGAAACCACATCCAGAAATTGTCAATTTTTTAAGTGGAAAATCAAGGATATTTTTGCTTGCTCAGACAACGGTGTAGATGGTACCGTTGTGAATTGGGCGCCTCTAAAATGAAATGTCAAGTGAAATTTAGACTTCAGACCATTTAAGTCCATCACCAATTATTTTATTAATGATTTTAATTAATAATTTGATTTTAATCTGATAATTTTTTGACCGCAAATATATATTTCAGGATCGGTTCAAGTTCAAAGGAGAAGAGAATTGGAGTAGGGAGGTGCATCCTTGTACCCACTGCAGTAGTGGATTTATATCCCAGGAATTATTAGATATACATCTTAACTCATGCAGAGATAAGAAGATCCAGGAAGCATCCACTGTGTATACCTGTGATACCTGTAATCACCAATTCCCTTCAACCCAGTCCTTGAAGCAGCATGTGAAGTATAATCATGGTGAATTCTATTGTCCTGAATGTGGAGAAGCGTTTAGTTCAGCAAGGAAGCTAAAGTTCCACAATTCAAAGGTTCATCTCGGTGAAACATTCCCCTGTGAAGTGTGTGGGAAAAGTTTTGCTCAGAAAAGTAACCTCACTGCCCATGTTAGAAACATCCACCAGGGACACCGGGATTATAAATGTAATGTTTGTGGTAAGGAATTCCAAATTCGTACGAACCTTACAACACATACCCGTACTGTTCATGAATTAGCTAAACCCTACAAATGCACAGCGTGTGGGAAAAGGTTTGGGCAATCTAGTAATCTTAATAAACATATAAAATCAGTACACGAGGGAATTAAGTATCCATGTACTCAGTGCGAGTTTAAAGCAACCCGAGCAGGCAGTTTAGCCACACATATCAAGAATGTTCATCTAGGAGAATATTCCTTCAACTGCGAGTATTGTGATAAAGGTTATAACCAAAGGAGCCATCTATCATTCCATGTTAAGAACCATCACCCTACAGAGTGGTTCCTTGAGCAGGAGGAGTATGTTAGAATTCATCAAGAAGAATGTAACAAATGCAAGAAGAGGTTCAAGGATAAAAACGAACTAAAACTCCACATTAAGCATATCCACAATCACTCGATGGTAATGTAATTTGATCCTACAATCCCGTAATACTACTCCTACATAAACTCTGAATTTAATCTAAATTATCTGCTAATAGTAGTAACATAATTCATATGGTAAAGTTAATGTTATTTATATTGATATTATTGTTTATGTAATCATATTAAATAAGTAAACAAATGTAATCAATTTTTTTTACCGTTTCTAATTTTGTTGAAAATTTTAAGTAAAATAACTTATTTACGATTAATATTAATTTACAATATGCATTGGTGTCAACTTGGTTTAAATAGTCGAAATACTTAAATGAAAATTATTTTAAATGAAATGCTATTTGTTTTTATTATTCAGCATGGAAAATCTTGCTAACAGCTACTTTTGAAATTCAGTCAATTTTTTTTTATGTTTTAAATTGATATCTTGTTTTCCCTGAAGTAAATATTGTGTTGTATATTAGGAAAACTCAATTTTTTTATTGAATTTGTATCATGATTCTTTGTGCAAATCGTTAAAGTTGATGTTTATAATTTAATTTGGATTGTTAATGAAATATTTTTGTTGTATTATAAATAAATACTCAGTTCTCAATATAGAAATATAAAGCACATTTTCACTTAAAGGTTATTCAGAGGCGTATTCAGGGCTCAGCCTCCCCCCCCCCCCTGATCAATGAAATCTATGACTTCTACGTTTATTTTGGGCCCAACAGGGGCTGAGCCCCCCCCCCCCCCCCCTCCAGGAGAAATTCCTGAAATATGCCCCTGATTTTATTATTCTTAGATAATCTGTTACATATTCTTAGTCTCGGGTTTTAATATCATCAGATTATTTAAATAACTCCAATCGAAGTACGAGCCTGATTAAAACCTAGGATGATCATTTTAGGAAAGTTTGTTAAACGAGACAAGGAAATAATTTATCAGCTAAAGGGTTTGATGAGCCAGTTGTGAGCCATGATAATGTGGGAGCTGCCGACCATGGCAGTGTTGATCAGGATGCACAGTTCGAGCCGATCCTATCCATTTTCGGGACAGTCCTGTTGTCTATATACTTGTAGTTTTAATTTATCAGATTTTGTGACTGTCTAAGGAAAAATTCACTCCTAGTTGTTAAACCGCCAAACTCTGCAGATGCACTTGTCTGAAAATAGTTTTCTTGGTTAACTGTTTCCGAGTCAAATGATGCTTTTTATAACTTCACAAGATCAAAAGATCTTTTTTCCTATTCTATTGATGCGACACCTCTTAAAAAAACAGTTAATATGAACTAATTTCAAAAGTTTAAAGTTACAATGCTTACCCTCTAAGGATTGAAACTTAAAAAACGAACCAACAAGAGTCATTTATCTTTGTCAGAGTCCGAATTTAATGAATTTGAGTCGTGTCTCAAATCCGCCGAAAACTGGTTTCATTTGAGCACACGTCTTAAATCTTGAAACATTGAAAACAATTAAGTGGAACCTACAATACTCAATTTTTTAAAATTCGGCCTCAGACCATTTAAAAACAATCTTTCAAAACTTATTTAAGTATTATTGTCCAATATCAACCTTTAGGTCGATACTAAAGTTTATTTGACGTAATCATTAAAAACACATTTTAGGGTTTAACTTAAAACTGCAACTACGGCACTCGGTTTGAGTCGTTTGAGCCAATTATATTCACGAATATTAATGTTTATAAAAGTGATATAGTGGCAATAAAAAAAAACGTTTTTTAGATTATTAGTATTAAAAAGTTTCGAGATTTTGTATCCTGAATAAATATAATATTGTCGGCTGAAAAATAAAACATTGAAATGTGATAATCTAAAAATTATCGGAATTTAGCATGTAATATTTTTTGATTTTGAAATCGTTCTCAAAATTTTTCTGTAAATAATATCAGGGTAATTTATTGTGGGAAAATCCTCAAATCCATATTGCACCGGTTCGCCCCATCCAAGGGCAGGTTTGTTTGGTGGGTAAAAATGGTTTGTTTGGTGGGAAAAAATGGTCTTGCTTGTCCCAATAAAAATGGGAATTAAATGATGACTTAAATATCGTCTTTGTTTTACCCGGGATTAATTTTTAAACATGATTTTGTATAGTATCACAGTTAAAACATGTTAAAACCGAGAACTACTAGTTTCGGAATTTCTTAAAAAAATGTGGTTTATCATTTTCACCTTCAAATTTGGCTGAGAGATTAGGAAATTTGCCCAGAATCTAGTTTATTAAAAATCAAAAATATTGTTTTAATATCTCGGTCAATTTGAAAACTACAAAGAAGGTAGATCACATTTTAAAAAGCTCATTAGACTTTTATTCATTAATTATTTGAAATCAAAGACGATATTCAAGTCGTCTCTCAATTCCCGTGTTTACTGGGACATCCTGTACTAAAAAGTAGATACACTTCGCAAATTTTGTTGGAGGGAGATTTTTGAAACTTTGATCATCAATAAACCTTCCCTGGGGTAATGTGAG